GTCAAAGCTTTTTATCATGAACATGTGGTAGTGCTGTTGGGGAGCACAGGGTGAGTGAGGTCCAGCTTGTATAGTAAATAATAACCACATTACATTTGGATGAATATTCCTAGGGTTGTACAACTAACATCTTACCTTAATATTTCACATAACTGAATCTATTACAATAGGTTTGGTTTGGTTTTGCAGTGCCCTAAAATACAGAAATTAATTATTATTTAATCAAAATGAATTAATATTTTATAAACTAGTAATGCTATAAAACTTCCAAAAAAACAAACACACTCTCATTGCATCAATTCCAAAGCACAGCGACACTTACGACAGGGTCAGACCCTTGGGTTTCTGAGACAGTAACTCATAAGTGGAGTTACACAGCATGAGCAGAGCAGAGCCGCTAGTGCTTCCAAAATGTTGACTGTTAGGTTAGAAACCAATTCACAACCACTACACCACTAGGGCCCTTATCTAAACATCTAGCCTAGAAGGTTAGCAAGCCCATTCACAACCACTGCACCACCAGGGCCCGTATCTAAAACATCTAGCCTTGACAATCCGTCAGGAGCAGTTCTACTCTGTCTTTTAATGTTCCTATGGGTCAGAATCAACTCAACCACAGCAAGCCTTACATGTGGACCTGCATGCACACTCGCACATGTGTGTGTGTTTCAAAGAACCGAAGAATCAGTAGTGGCAGTGCTGCTGAGAGTTTTTCTATGATGAGGGCAGACTTATTTACTTGGGTTTGATAAGTAAAGATTATTAATCAACTTTACTAAAATTGTTTTAGTAGAAAGCTGAGGTGGAGCCAGATTAAGAGGAGCTGAGATGAGAAAAAAGCACATGTCTAACTCGATCCCTTTATGTGCTGTCTACCTTTTAGACATAATTGTCAAACCTACCTTTTTTGTTTATCAACCTCATGGACCTCAGATTTCATTGACCAATCTACTCCTACCTCTGCATGCTGGCTGTGCCTGACCTTGCTGTGTGCACTACAGCTGGACCACAAGGTCTCCACCGCTTTTGGCTTAATGATGCTGAACATTTCTCTGAAGTGTATCTTGCTCATTTCTTCTTGATTCACTCTTGCTCCAAGATGCGCTCTTCCTGGTTATGATGTTTGACCACTATGTAGCCAATTATAACACATCACACCATGTACTATATCTCACTGCCCTGGTGTCAATTGATCCCAACTCATTGTGACCCTGTAGGACACAGTAGATCTGCCTTTGTGGGTTTTCTGAGTCTGTAACTCTTACTGGAGTAGAATGCATCATTTTCCTCCATGGACTTCCTGGTGGTTTCCAAATGCTGACCTGGAGGCTAGCAGTCAACTCAATAATACACCGTGCCACCGTTTCTCCAGTGGTCATGCTGAAACTGGGCATAGATCCAGAAGCAGGTGAGTGAACAGGAAAAAGGAAAACTGCAGGTATTAAAATCATGAAAGATGTGCCTCAGTTTTGTCCTCGGCATCCTCATTAGGACGGTATACTGAGCAAATCATCAGAGAAGCTGGATTATATGAAGAAGAATATGGCATGTGGATTGGAGGGGGGATTACTAAACCCCTGCCACATGCAGATGACACAACCTTGATTGGTGGAAGTGAGGAGGACTGGAAGCATTTGTTGAAGATCCAAGATCACAGCCATCCCTATGAAACCCAAGCCCAACACCTGGACCAATAGGGAACTGCAAGATAAACAGAGAAAAGATTGACGTTGTCAAAGAGTTTTCTTGCTTGGATGCAAAATCAATACTCATGTAACCAGCTGTCAAGAGATACAATTACACATTGCATTCAGGAAATTTGCTGTACATTATGACCACTAACATGTTGAAAAGCAAGGAGTTTACTGTGAAAACTGCAGCACACCTGACCCAAATCTTTTCAATTGCCTATATGCATATGGCATTGGGCATCAAATTAAGAAAACTTAATAAGTATTGATGCATTGGAATTATGGTGCTGGTAAAGAATATTTTAAGTATCATAAACTACAAAAAGAAAACAAATTTGACTAGTAAGTGGTGCATCAAAAAATCTCCTTTGAAACAAGATGTCAAGACTTCACCTCACAGAGTCTGGACACATTATCAGTGGAGACCAGCTCCTGGAGAAGGACCTCGTGCCTGGTAAAGTAGAGGGGCAGGGAAAAAGCGGATGGTGCTGGATAAGACGGATTGGCTCTGTGACTGCAACATTGGGTTCAAGCATAAGGAACCTTTGAGAGGATGGCGGTGGGCCTAGGGTGTTTCTTTCTGATGAAGATGGGGTCATTGTAATTTGCAATGGACTCCACAGCACCATTCAATGACAACAGCAATATTCAATTATTTTGATGCACCTGGATAAAGAGATTGAGTCTAGGAATTGTACTCCAGGGTTTTGTGATTCTCACTCTTTTTCCATATTACATTGACTTCTCTGTTACAAAACTAGTATGATTTCTCACAAGTTCTTTGAGTTTATGACACTAGTCACAAGGCCTGGGCTTCAACAAGCCAAATTGTTGCATTTCTTACTAGAAATTGTACTTCATATTGATAGTTTGTCCATATACATCCATACTCCACACTGTTTTCTTCCTTCCATTCAAGAATGCCAAGTTGGAAATGATGGTACATGTGGCTTCCAAGTCCTTGTCATCCCAGTGTCCTGTGTCCTAGCCTTCTTTTCTTCACTCACTCACACGTTTAGGCACCACGTGGCTCCCCATGTCCACATATTTGTAGCAACACTATTTTCCGATACTCTGCATGGCAAATTCAATTCCCCGTGGTGTCAGAACCAAGAAGCACAGCACATGTTCCCTCTATCGATAAGTGGTCCAAAGCCTGAACAGAACTCTGTCTATGGGCTTCTTCTTTCTGCACAAAATCTTTCTAGTATTCCTTAGAACAGTTTATCACAAAACACCTTTCTTAACTTGCAGTTGACTAAAGTTTTTTCTGTCAGAATTAACTTCCTCAAGGACATATCATATATGTGAATGGATATAATTTTAAATTACTTATGCTTAGCAGAAATATTGCCCAATAATGACTCAAGAAAACTGTCCTTGTTTTTTTTTTTTTGAAGGGCCATCTCTGAGAGTATAAGGGGAGGACTAGCCCAAAGCCTATTATTAAATAAGCTATAGCAGCCGCAGAGCTGGCCCCTCAGGGATTCATGAGCCTCATTTTTGCAGGAGCAGCTCACAAGTTGGATATTATGCAGCTTTGAAAAAAACTAACCTGTCAAACACTTCATTACATGAGTCAAATTGGAAGACATTATGCTCAGTGAAGCTAGTCAATCTCATAAAGACAAATACTTCATGACGCTATTGTTATAAAGGAGGAAAAAAATCCTAGGAAAAATGATTTTCACAGCCAAAACAGCACACTTTGAAGGCTAAGGCAAGGGAAGGAACAGAGAGGGAAGAAAGGAGGGTAAGAGGGGGACCAAAAAAAAGAACAAGACAAGGTCACATACCCCGGGATAAGTGTGTTACTGTCCCCGCTCTGAAGAGATGGCTGTGTTTTGTGTGGTTTTCTTTGGGCGTAGTCCACACCAGGAGAGAGGAAAGATCATGGTCTTAAAGATCCTCCTGTTTCCTGCTCTATCAGACTTAATCAAATGTCAGTGGTTATAAAAGGAGGAAAAGTAAGACTGAAACTGACTTCAGAGTTTTGTGATAAACACACTAGGAGAAACAAATTAAATTAAATAACGATCTTGTTGTTGATAGTTAGCATTGAGTCGACTCCAGCTTATGCATATCAGAACGCGATCGATCTTCTATGTTTAGATCTATCGGGGTTGTTAAAATTCCTAGAGATCCTAAGGCAAATAAGAAGCCCCAAACTTAGTATTTCTTCCCGTCGCCCCTCCCTAGGATTTAAAAATAAGAGTTTTATTTATGTCAAGTCCACACATAACATCAATCATGTGAAACAGAGGTAGAAAAAGCTGAGTGATACTTCCTGGAAATACACATACAAGCACAATTTTAAAAATACGCAAAACAAAAACACCTCAGTAAGACAACGATGGGAGGATCACTGGGTAATTTCAACATCCCATATCTGTGAAACATCTGAGGTGGAAAAAAAATTAAAAGCAGAGACAAAATGATTTAGAAAAAAGAATAGCTGAATAGTTTGCAAAGAGGTCCCAGTAAGTCAAACTCCATAAGAACACACGCATGAAATAAAGCAACAAACACATGCTTGATGTAAAAAAGTCAACTTTTTATGATACTATCTAAGGCAGTGGTCCTCACCTTCCTAATAGTGTGACCCTTTAATACAGTTCCTTATGTTGCGGTGACACCCCCCTCAGCCATAAAATTTTTTTTGTTGCTAATTCATAAATGGAATTTTGCTACTTTTATGAATGGGGCAACCCCTGTGAAAGGGTCATTCGACCCCCCAAAAGGGTCGTGACCCACAGGTTGAAAACCGCTGGTCTAAAGGGAAAACCCCACTTTTTTTTGTACAATATCATCATACTCTCAGCGGAACATATTTCTTACAGATTTACAAGTCTAGGTTAAAAATAGTTATTTTTATTAAGGGCTCCAGTTGCATGGGAAATAGTATAGGTAATGTTATTATTTTCAGGACTAGTCCTTCAAGGTTGGCCCTTCTTTTTGTTGAAACTCACCGTATGAAATGCTTTATGGTTGTTTGAGCTTCAGTTTAAGCTGTGTCTGCAGAATCTGATCTGATGGGTGCAATCCTAATGGGGTAGAAAATGTCTTAGCTTTCTTCACACAAAGGCGTTTTTATTCTCTTCAAACATCAGAATGAGGAAATACTTTTATTCATGCATTGGGTATGGGATTGACTTTGCAGTTCTGGGTTTGAGATAAAGGCTTCCCAGCCCTAAAATTTGCCATTAACAAGCCTCCACCACCAGATATTTTAAAATGTTACTACCAATTTATAAATAAGCAATTCCACTCTTACTATATTAGAATATTTCTGAATCTGTGTGTTCTGTTTTATTTCTTAGAAAATATTTTCAGCAACCTTTCTCTAATCGGTTTAGTTCTGACACCATAAATTACAGGATTGAGAGCAGGTGGAATGGCCACATATAAATTGGCAAGAAGAATATGAATGTAACGTGGCACATTGTGGCCAAATCTATGGGTCATGAAAGAGAAAAAGGCTGGTGTGTAGAAAGCCAGCATGACACAAACATGAGAGCCACAGGTGCTGAGAGCTTTGATCCGAGCATCATGGGAAGGGAGTCGAAAGACAGCATGAAGAATCTGGACATAAGAGATGATAACGGCTATGAGGTCAAACACCAGGGTGCAAATAGCACATAAACCATAGATGATGTTGGCTTTGATGCTTGCACAGGACAGGCGGGCAATGCCCATATGCTCACAGTATGTGTGAGGGATTATTTGGTGTCCACAGAATGGTAATCTTAGGATGAGCAGAACAAAGGGAATTGCAAAAGTTAAAGGTTTCAAGAGGATGATCAGTGCTATAATCGATACAACTTTTTTTGTCAGTACTAATGTGTAGCGAAGAGGGTTACAGATGGCCACATAACGATCATAGGCCATGGCCAGGAGAACAGCTGATTCCATGCCAGTGCACTGGTGAATGAAGAACATCTGGATGAGACAGCCCTCAAAGGAGATTTCTCTTAGGTTGAGCCAAAAGATGCCAAGCATTTTGGGGATAGTGGATGTTGATAGTCCCAGATCAATCGATGACAGAATGGCCAAGAAGTAGAACATGGGCTGATGGAGGCTTCTGTCAATCTGAATCACATAGAGTATGCACATATTTCCTAGGACAGCTGTCAAGTACACAGCACAGAAGGGGAAGCCAATCCATACATGCACATTTTCCAGCCCAGGGATCCCGAGAAGAAGAAAAGAATAGGGATGGAATAAAGTGATATTGAGTTGGGCCATCCTTCTGAAATATTTTTAATAGAAAAATATAGCATACACTGTGTCCCTCATTTATTTAGAAGCCTAAACCTTGCCCAGTACTCAATAAACATTTGCTAAATAAATCACTGAGACTTCTATCATATTCTGCCCATAACATTATATTGTCGATGCCTGAAAATACACAAACTATAATGGTCAAATGTTCCCATGTGGCTATAATGGATTTAATCATATACATTCTATTAAATTCAACATTTTAACAGACATTATGTTTACACTGCATGTATGACATTTTCTGTACTAAGACATATTGTAAGACATAACTTACATTATGTTCCTTTCTTCACAAAATTTAAAATTCAGTGGTGGAAAGAGTTATGCAAATCAGTGATTTAAACTAATGTAATAATTTCTAAGCTAAGGCCATACCTTGGTTGTTTCATGTACACAAATGTATTTCTAAGAATAGTTTATGATAAATATTTTTATGACTACATAATTCATGGACATAGAGCTAGGAACACCGTATAAACATGATTACAATCAATATGATTTTACATATACCACATATCTGAGCTGAACCTATGTATGTAATCTTCAAACACAACAAAACTGCAGCTGGCCAGAACCTTCTATAACAATTTCGGATAACATACAGATTTCTCACTGTGTTGTAAGCCCAAAGTCTATTTCTCCTCCCACAGTCATCCTCTCTTCTTGGCTGCTGATGCCGATCTCAGAGATTTACTCGGCCAAATAGTTTCATCAAGCAAAGCCTGGTAAGTTTCATCTCAAGAGGACCTTCTATTCCATTTCTGCTTATAATGGAATGTACCCATCCTTTTTCATTTCTGCCTTCCTGACAGGCAAATAGAGCCATGTCATTTTAAAGTATTCTTCTGTTGATGCCAGTAAGGAAAGAAACAGAGAGATACTCATTAGAACACACAAACATTTCACAGACATTTATGTCCTAGTTTATAAAATATCCCCCAAAGAGTCAGGTAAAACGAGTTAATTTATACTCACTGCTCCTTGACACTCCATCTCTAATCCTTCTCAGTTGTCTCTATTAGTTATCACCTTAATAATTGTAAATGTATTTTGATCAAGAGCACTAGGCAAATGATAGATAGATATTATGAAGACACAAACAATTCCAGAACTTGAAAATGCTCTGTAAAAATATGAATTTCAAAGCTTAGGAGAAATAACAACAAAGAAGATAATGCAATGCACACAACTAGTTGCCTTATTTTTAAACAGAATAAAACAACTGGAATGATTTATAAGAAGAAACCGAGGTAAGATTGGCTTGAGACACGAGGAGAGTCATTCTTAGGAAGTGATGACAACTCTGAAAAAATATATTTGATGTGAACAGAGATGCTTATATATATATATATTCAATGATTGATATTTTAATTGAGGGAATTTGATGTGGAGATGAAAAGCAAGCCTAAATGTTAATCTCTTCTCTATGACTTGGGTTCAGCTAACTTACTACCTCTTAAAAACAAAACAAAAACAACAGTTAAAAAAAAGAGCTAATTACTGGTTGACTTTGAAAATTCATTGCCATTTGGAAACGAATTGCCAAATCATCTGCAGGTGATTTGAACCTTTCAGATAACAGCGAAACACAGTCATCATTTGCACAATTCACAGATATTTTTGTTCATGTATAATAGAATAGTGTTTAGAAAAAGCCTCAAGGAATTGAGGCCATGTTGTTTATGGACTCCATGATCTTTACTGAAATACTTCTCATTACTTAGTCTTAAATTCCTACCTGTGAAATGAGACTGAAATGCCTACGTTGTATGCTTATTACAAGGCACGACTGGCCCTAGATGGATCATTGGAAAGTATAGTTACAGTACTTGGTTGATCTGTTACTTAGAAAACATGGCAAAATAAAGAGTGAGCTTGGTTCTGACATAGCTTCCAGTCTAATCCTTAAAAAAGATGGTTACAGCCCCCTTCCACCCCACCACACACACACACACACTTCCAGGGCGACAGACAATAGAAACAATGGGGGAAAGGAGACAGTTGTCGGTGTAACATATGAAAATAATAATAATTTATGATTTATCAAGGGGTCATAAGGGTGGGGTTGGGATGGAGGGGAAAAAGAGGAGCTGATACCAAGGGCTCAGTAAAAGGTAATGTCTAGAAAAGAAAGATGCAGCACATGTACAAATGTACTTGATACAATTGATGTATGAATTGTTATAAGAGTTGTAAGAGCCCCCAATAAAATGATCTTTTAATAAAAAAGAGGTTTACATATTAAATTCTGAATTTCCTGTTATCAACATATAAAATTTTTGATAGAGTGTATTTCAAGAGCCTTATGAAGAATACATTCAAAAGCCTTGTTATACATTTTCAAAGACATGGCATAAATCTTTTGGTTCTGCATAATTCCAAAATCATTAGTAATACCTTCTGACTTAGGAAATAACAAACTGTTTTACTTGATCTTATGAGAATGTAATGATTCAGGGATATTTCCTGAATAGTAAGATGCAAAATGTCCCTTTGAAGTATGTTCTGATGCCATAAAAAACATTGGCCCTTGGTGGGGTCATTTACCCAATCTTTAAATTAGATTAAAAACAGAATTAAATGGAAAGACCGAGAGATTGGAAAGACAGCAAATATGAATCAACAAAATTTTAAGAGATGATGAGAAAGCTATCCAGGTCAGAGCTCTAGAACCCCCAAAAGTGGCAGGGGTGTCAAAATATGTTAGCAGCACACAGAGACACCCCCCCCCACTCTTCTCTGTAAGAATGAAGAGCACCAGTAGTACTGCCCAGCTGTATACAAGAGATATGCCAACAAATGTCCAATCCATTCTCTTGCTTACCTCATCCAGTAAGAATTCTTCCAACTCCTCTCCTACCACCTACCACACTCTTTTGCAAACTCAGCTCGCTACTGGTAAATATCCATAGTCTGAAACCTCACTTACCAGCAGGCAAATCATCCACAACTTCGTTTTGAATACCTGTTTAGTAAAGAGACATTTTGTACTATAGCTGCAGCTTCCCCAGTGAAGCTGTCATGCAATGGAACTCCCTGGAGACAAATGGAGATGAGAAAGTTCTGCTCTGTTAATTAACGCCATTTTTTTAGTGTAATTGAAAATCATCTGATTACATAGATAAATAGATATGTAGGTACTGAATGTCACCTAATTTATAGATAGATATAGATACACATATAGATATATATGAGGT